GGGGGGGGTCGGTCTTGAGTTATCAAAAATGCAGTCGAAAGGATGGCAGGCTCATACCCGGGATGCGTTTGAAAAAAAAAACAACGTTTTTGATGTAGAGAAGACGTAGGGATGAGAGGGGGTAGTACGGTGGTGAGGAGTTGACGGGAAAATGTAAATACGGAAAAAAGGGGGGAGGGAGACTGATATATTCATGGCGGGAACCGCTCAGCATAAAAAAACCCAGGTTGAAGCAAGGATTTAAAGGTCGTAGTGATGATATTGAGAGAGGATCCGAGTATCAGCTATTGACCCATCTCGTCCGCTCTCCCCTGAACAAAAAGTGTTTACTGTTATTGTAGATAAAGAAAAAACAAAGAACTCAACAAGATGTGTAGACAGAATGCGACGCCACGTTGTCAATAAATATAAAATATTTTTGGCCGCGCCTTGCCTCTGCCTCTCTCCCTATGAATGCTGTGATCAATGGACTATTGATTTCATGTGTTTTGTGTGTGCTTTGGTCGGATGTTGAATAGATTGTCAGTTTTCCTCTCTCTGAGTTTTGTATGGTTGGTTCGTTTTGGTGTCGCTACCACTGCCTGTGGTGAGTGTGAAGGATTTCTGTTTGTACTAACACGTTTTACCCTCTCTTATTTTTTTTAATTTTTATTTTTATTTTTTTTATTTTTTTTACTGTGTGTGACGTGTCTTTCTCCGGACTTTAGTATCAGTATTTGGGCGCTTTGCTAGCCTTGTTTAGTGGGTGGTTGGTTGAAGGGTGCCACTGGTAGGTCATACTTCTTCACTATCCATCTGCTGATTTTGTCTGTCTGTCTGTCTTACTTTTCCCTCGGCTCTTAATGACCATTAATGTGTCGATGTGCTTCCCTTTACTCAAAGCCCTGTTGACTGTGATGCTGAACAGGGATCCATTACGGGACTCGCGTGACCTTTAGTTGTTTGTTTTTTGGGGGTTTTCAAGGCTCCCTTATACCCGCTCGACTTTTGGGATGGGTGACTGCTCTGATGTGGTTTGTTTCTTCTTTCGTATCTTCCAGTATCTATCGTCCGTATCTCTTCTCTTTCGGTATTTCTATGTTACTATCTGGTTACACCTTTAATCTTCGGCACGTATTTGACCTGATTGTACAAGTTCCGTAAAACTCTTAAACTAAAAAAAAAGTTTTTAAGGCTCTCAGCCCATTTAGCTCAGTCATATCTTGGAGATGGACGTTAAACTTTGAGGTATCGCCTCTTTAACACCGTACGGTGGTGAAAGAGACGTTAAACCTTTACTATACGCTCACTAATTTTTATTTACTTACCTCGATTGCTGTACATTTCCTAGCCGTTCGTTGTGCTTCATTCGAAATCCCGGCTCCACCAGTGCTTTTGTAGAAAGTTAGACGGCGCTCTTGTTTACATGACAATGAGACTAAGTCAACAGTTAACACTTATTTCCATATTGTACCGAACGGTACCGATACTTATTCCACTCTGCAGGTGGTTGAGTTGTTTGGAGGGGGGGGGGGCATGCAGTGATTGCTCATGGATGGTTGGAGGGTACCGATGATTGGTCATGGGTGCCGCCACTAGTGGGTCGTGGGAGGTTGGAGGGCACCACAGAAATAGGTGTTCTGTGGTCATGGGTGGTTGAAGGGGGCCACTGGTTGGTCCCACTACTCTGCTCTTTTCCTCCATTGTTTTTAAAGACTTAAAAAAAAACCTGAACTATCGTGTCGATGTGCTTCTATTTATGTGCTTCTCTCCAACAAGCGAATGCTCTCACGTGTATTCGTGTATGTGTGCGTATAATATAATATATATTCGTTTGAAGGCGCATACATTTAAGATACATAACATTGATAAGATATGTACAATTTTGACAGAGGCCATGTAGCGTGTACCGTA